AACTCCTGTGTGGTGCTGAAAGATGTAGGGTTGAACATGGATGGTTGCTGTCCTCTAGGAATGTATAGCTGCTGATTAGGAGACACAAGGCATATACACTAAACGTAGCTCTCATGCCTAATATATGGCGATGAACGTCAAAGAGAGATGAAAATAAAACGCTCTGGGATTTCAGGGTAGGTAGGCATATTTCCAGAGAAGAGGAGTGCTTACATCTTTTGAATACCAGTCGCTCTCTTGTATGTACTATGACAGGTCTTTTGCATGCATTGTGTTATAAATCTTCGTAACAACTTAATTTATGAAGGAGGTGTAATTGCCCACATTTTACCCATGAGAAAACAGATTTTAAAAGAGACCAAAGATGCCAATACACACACACATACAAACAGCCCTAGGAAGAAATGCCACCTGAATGGGGCTTTGCACAATAGTTCACTTTTAATATGTAATATGTAAAATGCAAAAGAGAAAAGCGCAGATGTCTGAGCCAAAGCTGATTTAAACTTGTGAGCAAAAGCAGATTAATTTGCTTTTCCATTTCATAGAGCTTAAGTCCATTATTACTCATTAAAACAATCCTTCTCTCTACCTGGTGGAGCTTCTCCTGCACGGCTGGAATATTGGTCAGCAGGTCAGTCCACTGGCCATCGATGTGCGACAGCTCGGAGCGCAGTGCGGCTGTGTCCACCTTCTTTAATCGAAGAAGCTGATTTCCAGTGCTCAGAACAGATGATTTGAGGGAAGATTTGGCATCTACTTCTTTGGAAAACTCCTAAAAGACGTAGTGACTTTCAAATTAGGGTTAAATAGGCAGACCTTTCATTAAAGGACCAACTTAGTGCGTGGAATAATTTCCTTTACATTCTGAGAGGGGAATTATGCTGAGCAATGAAGAGACAAATGAAAGAAGCGCACCTTTGTCCTAGAATGAAAGCCAACTATGAAGCCATTACTTGAAAACTACTTTAAAGGGGCAATGTTGAGAAGTTGAGCCCTATTTTTTGCATAATTGTTTTGTTTTGTTTTTTTTTCAAGAGAATGTCTCTGTTGCCTCAGCTAGAGTGCAGTGGTGTCACATAGCTCACAGCAACCTCAACTCCTGGGCTCAAGTGATCCTACTGCCTCAGCCTCCCCAGTAGTTGAGACTACAGGCCTATGCCACCACACCCAGCTAATTTTTCTATTTTTTTTTGTAGAGATGGGGTCTTGCTCTTGTTCAGGCTGGTCTTCAGCTCCTGGCCTCAAACAATCCTCCCTCCTCTGCCTCCTGAAATGCTAGGATTACACGTGTGAGCCACCATGCTTAGCCTTTATTTTGCATAATTATTGAACACACATAGTTAACATTGACAAATTCTCAATAATTTAGTTGATTAAGTATATCCATTGACAGGTGATTTCCTTTCTGCTGGTGTATGGGTCCTGTCTGACCTGAAGGCCTAAAAACAATAAATTCTTATCAAATTCCTTAGATCTTAAACCTACCAGGAAAGCATTTAGATGATCACGGACCGTTTCCAGCTCTTGTGGGACTGTCACAGATTGCTGAGTCCAAAATTCTAGCTTTTCTTTTGCAGATTGTAACCAGTGAATTAGATCTGCAGATTCACTTTGATATCTGTAAGTATATTAATGAATCTATTAAGTAAACATCCAATCCCTATCTCTGCTCACCCATGTTATTCACCAATGCCAACAGTTTTACAACAAAAGATAAAGATTTAGAAGGAAAATGCACTAAGCTGACACTCTGAAATTCTCTTCTCTTAATATTTATTCCTTGATCAAGTCTGTCTCTCTGGGTTTCAGCTTGCTCATCTCTAAGCTGAAAATAAAAATAAATATCGTTCTCCTAGTCCTTCACATTGATGCTACTTAGAAAATATTCGATGATTGTTATAAAAACTTCTTTGAAATAAAGGTGGCATAGAAACAGAGTATTTCATTACATAAAAAAAATCAACCTTCCACCTCCCTTGAATACTTCTCATTGTCTTTGAGAAGCTTCCCCTTCTCAATCCATGTTTTCTCTCCTTTCTTCCCATGAAGGGCTTTATTGCGATCACCCAGACACAGTCACTAAGCCAAGGTAAGGTGCATTATGCAGCTGCCTCCATGCCCACTTTTAATTATATTTTTATACAATTATAGAAGAATCTAAGTGGGGACGTTCTGTTTGTCTTTATTTTCCAAACCACGCAGTAAGTTCCTGGAGGGACCATATTGTTTTCAAGTATAGTACCCACTAGCCTTATTAATACACTGCAGCACTTACCCAAAATATGCAAAATAATCATTGTGTTACCTGGTCCAGTGTTTCAATATTGTCTCCAATCTGTGAAGTTCCTTAGACACTTTGTTGGTATTATTCAGCCAGTGTTCTCCAAGCTGATTCAGCTGGCTTTCCAGATCTGAGCAGCTAATGGATATCAGAAGTCGTTTGCCATCATCTAATACCTGATATAATTTGGGCTGGTATTCACTGAGGCTAGATTTTAAGTGCTAAAATGATTGAAAATATCGGGTTAAAAGTTTGGATTGTGCAATTTTTGTTTTTAACAATTATATTTTTTCTGTTGCCCACAATGTTCCCATTGCCGTTATTCAAACTTAAACTATTGGCACCCAAGTAACATTGACAACTTTAAGATGTTTCATCAAAATATAAGCATAGATATTCTCCTTTTTTATTTTTTGGTATTGACTTTAGGTGCATTTAAAACTGTCAAACTACAATTATTTCAAGAATAGTTTTACACCAGGACCAACTACAGAAACTGCTTGGTGGAGCCTGAATTTTCAAAAAAGAGCTCTCTCATTTAAAAAAGAAAAAATAAAGAAAAACTTTTTAATGTTCTACTATAAATAATACAAAC